TGGAATTATCCCACGATTTTAGTTTTAATCACATACAATCAAGGTTAAAGAATATTTATTACTTTACAGCTCACGATTATGATTAGCGACGCTACGTGCCGTACCGAAGGGGCCCGAGTACGAATCTCGGAAAAGGCATGAATATTCTTAAATGTAAATTGTCTGTGCGGCATGGGGTACTCTAAATATGCAGAAAGTCAAAAGTCCTCTAGACAGGTTGTGGTAGGGGAAGATGGGGTTAGACCCACGGACCTGCACCTCCCCCGATACACTTTCCATCAAAATTCGGGTGGAACTTCGTGAAGTCGTACTGTCGCCTGTACGGTGCCCAAGGTTTTTTTAACAACGACAGCAGCAATCTTGCACTCCTTGCCACAATGAATTTCGGGGGCTTGTTTTGATGTTACTGTCAGGCAATTGAGATAAGTCACGGCAGCAACAACAACAAAACCTTATACAGAAAAGTAATAATGAAAGGAAATGATTTAACTCTGAATGAAAGAAAATATTCATTCTAATCTGCGTAATATTACGTTAAAAATTTTCTGAAAATCGAAAAGAATTTAAAGAAACCCATGAAATTCAGCGAGTTATGTTAGAAAATGCGTACGACTTTCATTTTTACTTCCTTGTACGAAGTAAAAAGAAAGTATTGTAATCGCGAAAAGTTTCAGGCAGCATATTTCAACGAAAATATCTATTTTGACCGCTATCGAATGCAATTTAACGATGTTTTTGCGTAGTATCTGTACATAAGGATAGAATAAAATACTCTTTTCCTCCAAAAAAAATTATAAAACTGCTTTGATATAATAATTATAAAAATTAATAATTATAAAAATGAATTCTGAAGAGAATTTTTCGTGGCGTTTGTACGAACGTATGTACGTATCTCGCATAACTCAAAAACGAGTAGCCTCAGAACGTTGAAATTTTGTATATAGGACTGCTATAACATGTAGATGTGCACCTCGTATTTTGGTTGCAATCGGCCGCACCAAAAGTACATAAATATATTTATATATATATCCACTCTGTTACCCGGCTCAGTGATCTCAGTTTCTTTACTATTATATTTTTGTAAATTGTACATTTTTTGCTTAAAAATGATTGAATTATGTTGTTCTTATCTTCCGGTTAAGGTTTTTATGCCTTTAGTAAATATGTATGCAATATTATTAGAATTATCAACAATTTTAAAGTTGTCTAAGTGCCGCTAAGCCTAATATTTTTTTTATGGCGGCCATTGCTTGTTTACATTTGAAACAGCAGGATAGTGGATTTATTGCCATTCTAGAGAACCTTAGCTTCGCAACAACAAAGATAACGCCCTCATTTATTATTGCGAATTAAATCATGCTCAATCTTTTCTGGAATTTTTTCCAGGAAATAAGTGTTCAAGATTTATTTCGTAATTAATACATATATTTTGAGTTTTTATGTATTTTTGCCTTCTCGCGAAGTGAAAACTGAATTAATTGAATGAGAAATACTCAATCGTCTGTGAAAAACTGTTTCTTTTTTGTTTTGTTTGCTTAATTTCTTTTAACATCGTTCTAGCTTATTATAGTATTTGAATAGAACATGTGGCAACGATTAGATAATTCTTTAAATGATATAAATTTTGTGCATTCTGAGTTATAATATTAACGAAATATAATACTGTTAAGTGAACCTAGCGCCAGAGTGTCGATATGGTAAACAAACAGAGTGAATTTTAAAGAATGCATTTATTCTATTGTGGTTTATGCGCTGTCGGCGAAGTAGATTTAATTCAATCCAATAAGTTTAAATTAAATGCAAGAAAAAATGCGTATAATTTAATATTCCGTACAAGGAAGTCATGGGGTGTACACATCAGATTTTTTAATATATGCTTTTAGACTACCTACTTGCGTCAAATTCCAATGTCTACCATTAACAGCTGGATTGCTAAACAATGATGTGTGGAAAAAATTCAATACTAAATAAAAAATATCTGAATCAAATTTTAAAACAATTGCATGAAATACTATATTGTGATTGGAAATACGTAATGCATAAAACATTTCAAGAACTTCGGACCGTTAGAAGGAAGTAAACAATTAATTTAAATAGCTGATTCCACAAACAAATAAACAATCCCAGTTAAATAAAACTGAGTAAATATAATGTAATTTTCTCTTCGTTGCATGAATGTAGTACTTCTGCAGGCTATGATTACAAGTAAATACTATCCCATTTCATATTAAACAATTTTCGCATTGAAGATCTCAAATATGTCTATATATATTATTTACATAATCGAGAAAATCGGGCAAAAGACTTGATGAATGACAAAATCAGTATAAAAAAATCTGAAAGGGTTCAGATTTTAAGGTCGTCCAAAAGAATTTATTAAGATTTTTCTACACTCTTGCTGAGCTCACAGTCTGCCAGTCTGCTACTGCACTCACTCCTGCTGATCCATTTCTTTTTGTCTTTTTAGCTTTGTTATTAAGCATTATTTTCTTCGCACCTGCACAACAGTTCAACAGCAAATTTATAAAAATTTTAAAAGCAGCACGTTGTAGAAATCCCGATGAAGTGTTAAGTGTTGGCATATATTTTTGTATTTTGTTCAGACTTTTCTCAGTTTATTATATCAATGTATAGTTAATCTTAGTAAGAAAACTTGTAGAACTTTTTGTCTTTTTATTATTAACGTTTTGTGTGTTAAATTTATAAATTAAATATCAGAATTATGCCACGTAAAATTCAGTTGAATAGCAAAAAAAGAAAATATTTAGAAACAACATATCTTTAAATAACAGCGAGGAAACAATCTTTTAATCCGTTCAGTGTTGCCACTACTCGCTTTTAAATCATTGAGTTTCTTAAAAATTCATTAAAGCTTATAAAATATGAAACATAAAATTAGAAATTCAAAATTTGGGCTTCCAGCTGCACAGGTTCGGGTGGAGCACAACGTTATTGAAAATTTTATGGGCCTTTGTACCGTCGTTGTTTCACAGTGCGCGAAACTTGCGTGCATTCTTGCGGATTCTTTGCTATTTAATTTCTTTAAAAGTAATATATGGCGGTAATGTTTCGTGGCAACAGTCTGAAAAGTGATTCAGGGACTATTAGTCTTTGAGATAATAAATTTAACATTGCTCAGAATAAAGGCCTGCCGCAGCCCTCTACAGCAGAGTAAAGGTCTATCTGCCATTTATATTAGTTCTATTACCTAATATAAACCCTATCTGTCAAATTGATACATATTTATATTCATTTTGGGAAAACAACAAAGAAACCTGTTTACAAATGTTTATTTCAAAGCAGGAACATCTCTAAAAATGTGGAGGAATTCTTGAAATAGATTTATTATTTATTCTTCCCTCTTCTCGGGTATTTATAATTTCATCATACAGATTAATGTTTAAAAACTGATCACATAAATTTTTAAGAAATGAGAAGATTGTAATATGATTATCTAAAAAGGTTATCTCATTACTCCCTGAGCTTTTCGTGATTAAGTGGTTAAGCACGGTCAAGCACATTTAGCTAGCAATGGAAGATTCACTACTTTCAAAGTTAATACATGGACACATAAAAAGATAATGGTACTTTATCTTTATATTCTGGATATTTCCTTGATTCACTTGTTGGATAATAATGATATGCTGGGAGGCAAAAACATAACACATATGCTTTCAGCATTTTTGCTAGCATATGATTATTTTGATGTTTCGAGGATAGATGTTTCTGTTCTCAGATTCTGGTTCCTAACACCGGAATACAACTTACAAACGCAGTTCTTGCATCGATAATCTTGAGCATATCCTATACCATGTCCATTATACTTTCGATTGCAAACAATGACTGTGCCTGTATCTTAATATCAATGAGAATTAGAAGTTTATCTATTCTCAAGTAAAACAATTGTAAATCTTATTACTTACCTAGATAGAATGAAAGTACAATTTAAGCATAGTAACATAAGTGTTACTACTTCTGTTATAAAGAAAAAGATAAGTTTGATGCTAAAGAGCATTTCTGAAATTTATGAACCTAACGCCTTTATATACTATTATTGAAAAGAACTCTTACTGAACTAATATTCTTGAAGTACTGTTTCTTAGTTTGCCCAATAAAGAACATAATCGCAACGTGCATCAGACGTCCCCCCATCTGATTTATTTTGTAGGATTTGCCAAACCTAAACGTAAGCTATCATATTAGCACTTAATCTCGAAAGCTTAAAACATTAGATTTTCTTTTGCAATTAAAATCTTGGCACCATAAATATTTCTTAACATCTGGGTTAATGCAAAATACTTAGCAGATATTTTTCCTCATCTATAATCTATTACTTAAGAATAGGCATTTCAAGGTCATTTCTTCCCCGCAAACTATGCCTAACAACGATGGCAGCGACAGCTGCGGAAGAAAATTCGAATCTTCTTTAATTTGATAAAATCCCATAATTTCCTGTGTGCGGTAATCACGGCATACGCTCTGATTTCAAATGTGGGGAGGGTAGCTGTAACCTTGAAGTGCCTATTTTAAAGTAACACGCTATAGTAGCTATAATGCTAAAGCGCGCTTAAAAAAAAAAAGTGAAAAATATCTCCCTGCGTTTTTTTTTTTTTTTTTTTTTTTTTTTTTTTTCATCTTGAGGAATTCATGTCATTAGCAAATTGTTATACTTTCAGAATGTATAATACAATATTTTATTTAATGCTTAAACTAAATACGTATTATTTGTCGAAATACTACGTAAATTTCGACTTTTTCTATTATTTTACTATCGTACGGAACCCAAAGTTCAATTTAAAGTCTCCAACATTTACATAGAATCTATACTTTTTAACCAATAGTTATCTCTGTGTACTTACATTCCTGTATTACATAGATCACCTAAAGCAGCTATGAATCTCATTAATTCTTAAAAATTCAATTTGGAAGTTCTATTGTAATATTGATTTCACGTTTCTTATTAAAATTCTTTATTTTCAAATTCTTTAATTTATTTTTAGGTCCACAGTTTTGTCTGAAACATCAGCTTGAGGAAGGAAACGCAACTTCTAGAAAGAAAGAAGACTGTTTCAAAATATTGAAATGGAGTATATTTAATATTCGTATGAAAGGAAGTCCAATATTTTAATTTATTAAATGTCCTTTTTGCATGTGTTTTGGTTGTTATATTTTTAAAATATTAAAATAATAATTTCTTTAATACTTAGCGCAAATTTTGGAAAATTGAACTGTTATCGTATTCAAAGAGAAATTACTGATTTTTTTATTGAATTGTCGTATTACATGTTTCATACTTGTAACATAACAATGGAAATGTAAAAAAAAAAAAACGTATTCTATTCAAAAATGTTACAAAGTTTTCATCTGTTGCTTTTATTTTTTTTTCTAATTGCAAAAAAACGTAGATTACAATCCTTTTATTATATTGCTCAACTAAATTAATTTCATACGAATCTTTCAAAACTTGAATGAGTAAAATCCTATATTTTTTCTAGTTACTACCAAGAAACTTAATCAGTACAAAAAACATTCTACAATAAGATTTCCACAAAAAATTATAACATTGTATAAAAGAAACTTTCTAAGAACCATTTCCTAGTACAAATAAGTTCAATTACAAAAAGTTCTTTTTAGGAAATATACTAAAATCAGTTTCTTTTAGAAATAGACTCGGTTGGATATTTTGTAAACAACAGAAACGCCAAAAGAGTTATCTTTCAGGAAACAAACTCAGTTTGATATTTTATTATGAAAAAGAAAATGAAAATTTTCAAAAATGAACTTTGCAACGTTAACAATAGCCGAGGAAAACTATTGCACTTTTTTATTTTCAAATACATTTTTGCTTAAAACCTAACTGTACCAACTAAATAATCATTTTTCTTTCAAATACCCTTGCATGTTCAATAACGTTTCCCGTTAAACACGTTTACTTGATTCAGAATTTTATAGTTCAATTATTTCATGTGTTCATTTTTAAGTTTCCATTGTGTGTACTCCCTTCACGTGTGTTAACTATTTATTTAAACATAAATATTTAATGAAATATGTTTTAGTTACTAATATGTTGTACAATAATTTAATTTTTAATGAAGTTTTCCGCATTTAATATTTGACGGGAACTAAAACGCTTTATAATCTATTTTTGAATGAATAAAACGTTTTCTGTAACTTTTATTTGTTTTTGTTTTCAGGAAAAAAATTTTTGTTTTAAACTTCAAGCTTGCATGCTAGCTTGAAATCAAATGTCTTGAAAAATTCGTGAAATCAAATGTCTGTCATTGATTCAGTTATTAATCATCATATGAAAATATTTGGGAAAATACTTAAATTTTATTCTGAATAATTCATGAAATCTAAATTGGTATCACGCTAACTTTCGAAATTAGTGTATGTATTTGGATTACTTAATTATTTTTTTATATTACGTAACGGAGTTTAGTGTTTCAACGAGTAAATAACCTCATAAAATACAAGTTAACAATCACGCTAACTAATATATACATGAATATTTAATTTTATTATTCCCTAACAGACACCAATTTAATAAACAATTGAGTTCAATTTTATTCTGGAAAGTTCTCTATAAAAATCTATTCTTTCCGCTTATTTTAAATATTTTATAGCTATTGCTAAACTATTTAATTTCTATTGTTAGAATGTTAATTACAAATTTTAATTTGTAATTCTGCAATGGCGTTTCCCATGTTATCAACAAAAATCGATTTGTTTCAGTGTTTCATGAAAAGAATTGATATTTTAACTCTCATTAAGTGAATGAATATTATTTTATTGAAAACGAGTTTCTGCTGATGGCCTAGTGCTTCGAGTTCAGTGAACATGAAGCTGATGTGTAAATGATTATGACTGTCTGATAATGATCATGACAGTTAAAAGAGGAATACAGGGTGATACGCCAATATGTACATTTCATATACTGTTTGAAAAATATGATTATCTAAAGATTAATAAAAATGTTTTTATGAAATATCTCTCGAACTCTCTTTTCTCGTTGTTTTCATTATCAAGCCCCTAGTAAATGTTAATGCATTGTTTTCTTCAGAATGTTTACATGCAGGCATGGAAGTAATGAAGTGATTTTATCATATGTGCCTAAAATATGCACATGGTAGTGCATTAATGTTTCAATATCTGAGAAATCTAAACTTAATTGAGTACAGTTGTAGGGACACTGCCTGCCAAATTAAGGATCCGCCGCAAAACTATACCATTTTGTGAACTCTTATTTCGTATCGCAAATCATTAAACTAGTTTAGGCCTTTCAACATATTTTTGTTTGGTTCTATCTCTTATTTCTACAATATGTCTTTTCAAAAACATATTTTTTACATTTTTACTTTATTTTTAAACCTTTTTTTTTCTTTCTTTGAGCCATAAATGCACTTGTTTGCAAAAATGCTTTAAATATTTGATCTTTTTATTAACGTTTCGCAGTTTAAGCTTAACACGCCTGTGAGAATGGAGTTTTCTCACCAAATTTTTTGTCTTTACGTTTCATCAATGCAATGTGTCTGGAACATCTGCTCTCTTAGATTAATTTTATAAATCAGCGTCACGGTAAACACAAAAGCATAAATGAGATTACTCATACAGAGCACATGGCTATGATGAATACTATATTATGTCATTAAAGAATATATCCTCAGTTGGGTTAAGTATTAAATTAGATCTTAAGTTTCAGATTTATCCATTAGGTATTTTGTTTTTATTTGAAAACATACAGACTTCCCGTACACCACATATGTACAACACGGGGCTTACAGAAGTAAGTTGACTAAAACATTAAAAGTTACATGCATACATAAAACGAACAAAAACAGAGAACAGCAGTCTGGACTTCACGAAAACAGTTACTGCGAACATTTTCAAATCGTTCTATAAGCATAATCTAGGGCCATCAAATGTAAGGCATGATGAAATCAAATGTTCCACATCTTGAGGCACTCGTTTTCAACATTCACATAAATTATTTGCAACATATTCGGTCTAAAAGTCAACTTACTTCTGTAAGCCCCATGTTTTACGGTAAACGACGAGAACTTCTCGTCCTCAGTTTTTTATGTCAGAACCATTTATGACGAGTTGCACTCGTCATGCGTTAACATGTTTTTACATGCACAATATTTATACACCTACTAATTGAGAATAAATTAGTAGAATAATTATTATTGTTAAATCGGGTGCGAACATCGGTCAGTATATGTATTTAATGAAAAGATGTGTTGTGAAATAACACCATAATAAATATCAGAAGCGAAAATAATACATCAAATTGGTTGGAGAGTTATGAAGAATCAGAAGAATATGATATATATGTAACTGATAGCAATAATGTGTATTGTGTGAGTATTTAATTACGGCAAAGCACACTAGGGCTATCTGCCTACGGGGAGGGATGCCTTCGTGGAGGACTTTCTAAGGGAAACTGGCTCGTATACACGTTACACATGGGGAAAACCACGAAAACACCCATGCAGCCAGCCCGTTCGCGGGATTCGAACCTCGGACCAAACTACCAGTGTTCAGCGACTTTACCGCTCGGCCGCTGGTGGACGATAGCAATAATGAAACTGTTTAATTGGTGAGAGTGAAATATTACCCAAAAGTCGAAACGTGTTAGTTACCTAATAAATGGCAACAGTGAACATTCTAAAATTGAATAATATATAAAATACTGTTTTTTCATATTATAATTACTAGTCTAGTTTTTCTACGGAGGGAATCAAAAAGCTTACAGACTTTACAATCTGCATGGCATTACTCGTTATTTATAACTTATTAGTTTCAGAAATCTTTTCTAAACTGCTATTTCATTTGTAATTAAGTTTAAATGCGAACATTTTGTTTCTCAATTTGTTCGCAACCATGAATATGAGCCCAAATTTTGAAATTAAAAAACTTGGTCAATTTTTGTCTTATGAGAATGAAACCTATTGTGCTTTATTTTTCGAATGAGTTTGAACTTTCATTAAACATAACTGGTATAGCAACCGAATAACGATATAAAAGTTAGATTTCGTAAATTTAACTTTTGAAATATAGTGATAGGTATTTTTAATTCAGCTTCTCGCAAGAAGAAGAGCAAAAATAACTTAGTATTTTATTTACGAATGAACGCGAAAGTTTAAAAAAAACTTGTATTCAGGAGCACACTGAAATGGACAACTTACCTTTGAAAACAAAACAAAAAATTGCTTAAAATTTAATTAACTTGGAGAAAGATTTTCTTAAAATAAATAATTTTTAAAAAGATTTTCTTAGATAAATAAATTCGAAACTTTTCGGCTTGGAAACATCTTACAATGAAATGGCTTGAGAGAACTTGTAAGCATTTTAAGTTTTACTAATGCTTACTTTAATTTAAAACTTTGCTATCCTCTCTGATTTTCCATTTCCGGCCAGAATAAGCCGAATAAGAATCTTATGCTAATGAGTTGCAATCTATAAAGGTATTTAAGAAGTGGCTTACATAGACACATGGACACATATACAAGACAGATTATCATTTAGAAAATAGTAAAAGTGTTAATTCGTGCTTATTCACTGAAAAGTCACTATCAAAATTTTGGACCGAAACATAACGTCCCTTATTTACGTATGTAAGTTGGCATGAAGTAAAAGTAAGACAACGTTGCAATTGTAGAGCCATCTTTTGAGTAAGATAGAAGATAAAAGAAAAACAATAAAAATTATAAGACATATTTAAACACTTTAGGACAGGAATGTGACAAAATGAACTTAGGCGTTTTGGAGATATGAAGGATTTTATCTGTAACACTTTTCAATAATTTCAATATAAATATTAATTTTGCGTCATTTAAAATAGAGGCAGAACTCATACCAAACATTTACGTACTCAGTTTTAAAATATTAGTTGTAAAGGGGAAAAAAGAGGCATTAATTTCAGAGCTTTTCCAGCACTATAACCATTATACTGCAAACTTAAAATATTTGAAATCTATTTTAACTTTACTGGATAAAATTCAGTTTATCATTGCACATTAACAACTGTACATGTTAACATTTCCTTTTATTTATAGGCAGAGATGTGATGACAATGGAATGTCATCAAATATATAGATATTTTGAAGAACATCATCATTTTGTTTAATGATGGTGATTTCTTAAAGTATCCACAGATATTTCTGGGTCTTGTAGTTAATGTGAATTCTGTCATTATTTGATGTTTTCGATTAATCAGTGTTTCGATTTAAGTGCTTTCTTTAGGAAACATAAAGAGAAAAGCATTCAACTGCTTCTCTCTGTCTTAGAGTTACAACAGAGAAAAATTACTGGATACATTGTTTCATTTATTTTCTACCTTGTTGCGATTTCCAAATACCGTAAAGTACTTCCTTTTTTCCCTTCGAAGAAGTAATAAATTCCTTTTCGATGTCTTTCGAAACAGTTCATAGTGCGTAACATACCAAAAATATTTCTTTTTAACAGCGAACTCTATAGCTGTAAAATGTCCGTAGATCTTTTAGATTTTTATCTATTTATTTTTTGTTTAATGCTTTACAATTTCTTATTCTTATTCTTTATAATTTCTTAATATTAAATTCTAATCATTCTCACTATTTTCATGAAGTGGGTTAGAGCTTTATAAATGTTTCTATCTTGGAATTTCATTACGTGGCTTTTTAAATAGGAGCAACACGCAGATTAACTTTTATTTGACAAATAACTCAAATAATGCGAATTCTAACACTGCAGGCCAACAAATGAAAAATGCGTTCACCAAATACTCATGTCAGACAGGTAAACTACCTGTCGTCTCGGATCAATCCCTTGAATGGTTTTCAGAGTAAACTCTCTAAACTAAAAATTCGCTGCCCGTTTAAGCTCAACTAATCAATCTACTTTCCATTAAATGTCAAAGGAAGAAATAGAGAGCAGACAAGAATTAAATCAAATTAACATGTTAACTGAAATAAATTTTATAATGTGTTCAGTGAACAGAGCATAAGATGGACACAAAGTGAAATTCTTATGAACTAAACCATAAACTACACTAAATATAATAATTTGAAATCAAAATAATTGTAATTCGCTGATTAATTGGGAATTTAAGAGGAGCTGTGTGAATATGATCACATAAGTGTGATCACATAAGTCTTGGCAGTCATGTGCCCTGACACAGTTATCATGAGGCTAGCAGAGTACCACGATATGGCTGCCCAAACCATAACAGAACCCCCGCCATGTTTCACTCTTGGCAACAAGCAGTCTGTATTATAGGCTTGAGATGGCGTTCTCCAGACGTAAACTCGGCCAGAAGTGGGAAACAATGTGAAAGAAGACTGACTCATCAGACCATATTACTTGCTTCCACTGCTCTATAGTCCAGGCTTTATGACTTAAACACCACCTTTTACTGTTACGGGCATTAGCATCACTGATGAGTGGCTTCTCGATTGCAGCATGGCCAGCAATTCCCTGTTTATGAAGCTCCCTTCTAATTGTTTTGGTACTCGCAGGGTTCGGGTAACACAATATTCATTTCAGCAGTAACTTTTGCAGCTGTGGTCTTCTTATTTTTCGTCACAATTGCCCTTAATGATCGTCTGTCACGATCACTCAGGACACACTTTCGTCCGCGCTGTGATTTAGCAGATGATGTTTTTCCGCTTTTCAAATATGCGGAATAAATCTTCGATACAGTACCTCTTGAAACACTAAACACCTCGGCTATCTTGCTTACGGAAGCACCTACCATACGTGCTCCAACAATTTGCCCACGTTCGAAGTCTGTTAACTCTGACATATTGCAATAACAACCTCACATAACAGTACTCCGACAACAACTGAACTGTTTAGCACATTTACGAAGTTGTATATGTGGCGTCAGTAGTCAAAAACGCCAGCGCCACCTACATATTTCATTAAAATCAATCTTTCTTTTCAAACATGCATTTCACAAGGTGTTTCCATATTTTTGTCCATCCACTGTATGTAAAAAATTAT